AACCCCGAGACACATCTCTTGGCTGGTGGTCGAAAAAATACTTACAAATTTATAAGGCACGTTTAATTAAGCATTCGTGTTCCACTCCGTTGCAGGGTTCAACTTTCAAAGTTTCCACTCACGTCACAGAGTGACTCGTTGAGCATACATTCGGTACGTTTTAAACTGTAAAAGCTTCCCACAGTTGATAGGACATGCGATTGTGTACGTATGACACAATCGTGCCGGTGTTTAACCTCCGACTAATAACAGGGCAATTCGTCTTCTGGCCTTTTAATGTGCCGTACATTCCGGCGCAGATGATAACAGAACACATGTAAGCCGATAACTTTTTTACAGTCTTGACAAGTTTAGGGCGCAGTTAACGGTCCTTTCTTGAGATCGCGCCCTTAACAGGTATTGCATTATACTCCCATCTATCATATTGGCCCTGCTGCCATTTCTAAGAGACGAGCGAACAATCGAATGTTTCTGGTGCGAGCTCGAGATTTTCATGTTTGCGCAAAATTCAATACCTACATCTTTTTCAATTATTCCTTGAAAATGACTGCTCGGACGTTGTGTTTGTTCGAAAATTCGAAGGAGAACAATAAGACATTCAATTCTATGATAGACTGTACGGTTCACGATTTGATCGAACTTCCCAGGTAAGGTAACGCTAGAAACGAATAATCGAAGGGGTTATGAAATATGATTTTTGAACAGAACCTGGAGTACCAATCTACCCAGAAGACACTGGCAAATCAGAACAAATCATGCAAAGATTCTTTTCCCTGAATCGATGCCAAATATGGTCTTATCTACCAGAGAGGTTAGAAAACAATACGATGGAGTAAAGTCACTTATCCACCCTTTCAGAATGAGAAATTAAATATTTTAATCGCTCCAGGCTCGTTTCTATTGGTACTTGTACTCGTCGATGTCGAAGCATCAGCTCTCTTATCAAAGGACCCTGAACTCCGTCTTTTTGAAGGCACTAAACAAGTAAAAGGATCCGCTCAGCTCCTCTTTCCTATTGGCAGTTCGTAAATCGCAAACTTCTCTTTAGCGTAGAATATTACGGAAGAGAATATTATTCTCAGAAATAACGATCTCAAGAGAACTGTTACGAGCCGACGCCTTCGACGAATCGAGCAGAAGGTTCATGATAAATCAGCTAGAAAGGTGCCTTCGGTAAACCATTTTACACATTCTCTTCTCGTAAGCGCAATAACAATAATTACAAATCATCGGCAGAAATGCTTTCGAACGTACGAGCTAGTTAAACGTTAATGATTAAGCGTTGGCATTAAAAAAAGAAAATTACATACGGGTATCTATCTACTCACTCATTCACAGTTCCTCACTATAACCTGTATGCTCATTCGCCTGATGAATTTCGTTGCAGCCAGCAGACCAATTTGAAATCTTTGTGTCTGGAGGATCTGAGACTTAAAAGAATCGAGGGAGTCCGACTGCTATTGTCGCTTGTAAATTCGAGTAAAACTATGAGAAGTTTATATTGCTGGAAAATCTTCGAGACGAACGTCGGTCCCTTGCGCATTGCGAGTACGCATCCTTCGGGCTCGAAAACCTGCAGAGATATTATTGGGGGGAAGTCAAATTGGTTCAAAGCGATAAGCTCCTTCGAGAAACTGACCACCCTGTCGTTGAACTACGCCTACCTGGCTACGCCGACCGGAGACTTGCTTATCGGTTTGGCAAAGTAGATTATTTATTTTTAGCTGTCGTTAAGTCAGCAGAACGCATCCATTACTTTATCGTAACGACAGAAAACTTGGCTCGCAATGGCAGTGGTTGCAATTACTCTGTCCCGAGGATGAAATTCCGGTAATGGCTGATCCTAACGAGATTGTGAGGGTATCCGCAATGCCTGATGTCGCTTGGAGAGAAACTCGACTCTGGGCTCCCGCTCTTAAAGTTCAATACGTTTTCAGTACGATCGAAATTCAACCAATAAGGATTTCAAGACTGGTCATCACATTTCTGTTTTACTTTTAGTTGACATTCCGAAATATGATATGCACAAGAGATTTTACACTGAAGCTACACCGATCCATACGTTTGCTTTAAGTACGGGTACCATTATATGTTCCAAGCAACCTTGGCATTTGGATTGTACGATAAAAACCATTTGCAAGTGGTACCCTAAAACTTTGGGTAATATGTAGTTGTAATTGATTATCTTTAATTGCCCTCTGGAGTTGATGCAATTTGCCCGAATACAGTAAGAACAGTAACTCGAAGAAAGTCCAGCGTGCTAATTGGATAAGATGACGTTTTAAATAGTGCCATGATAAATTACCGTATGAGGATAGTGTTCACTTATTTGTTAAAATTTAATAACATGGACATCAAATCGTATTTTCCGTTATCAAAATTTTTTTCTTCAAACTCTACTGTTTCTATCGTGTCTGAAGTGTAACCCTGTGTGGGTGCAACTCTGCACCAAATTCCATTTCATGATTGTAGAAAGATTTGCCAATTGAAAGCGCGAAAATAGAAAATGCAATTTTAACATTAACCGTTGCAGTTCATTTGTACCTGCAATTATGGCATCATCGAGAAAGATTGGACACTCAACTAAAGAAATTGTTTCCTAGCTTACCACGAATGGAAATTTTCGAATTTGTCGGTGAAATTCAAACTCTCAGAACCCTCTGCGCGATGTGCTGTCAGATACGTGAAAAGAAATGCAGTAAGTTTTATTTTTATTAGTAAATTACAATTGATCCAGCCAGTTACTGCGAGCAGAAGCCTTAAAATGATATTCCCTTGCAAATATGTTATATTAGGCGTGAATCGCGTGAGTATACAATTGCAAGAAGCCATAGGTGTAAAAGTGGACCAAGAAAAGTGGGAAAAGAGCATTGAATGTCTTTTATGCTGCTTCAGAGAAGATTTCGTTCGGATGAACGTACGGTTTGAGGTTAGCCGTTATCCTTGCTAATGTATTAAAAAAAAAAAAAATTATAATTGGAAGGAGCTAGAACGATAAGAATACTGGAGGATAAAATAGTAAAATTGTATTTATCTTCCTGTAAGTTGTCGATGAGTTTGAGCGTCCGTAAGGAAACACCAAAGTAAAAAAAGCAGATGTTTCGGTAGACCCTTGACAAAAACACTATGTGATTCGCAATACGATAATGGTAATCGAATTACTGTAGTGCAATTCTCTATTATCGTATAATGCCATTTCAATAATGATCTCCAATTGCGTATAATATTGAGCTATGCTCTCGCGGTTTCTTGCTGTTCAAATTTCGGATACTTTATCTCTACTTCTGCCCATGTGGTTTTACCGTAAGAAAGATCTCTAACGACGCCAGGAAGCTCATTCAACTGAAATCACGCAAAGATAAGAGACAATTAAAAATTGGTAATACTTGCTTAAAATATAATATGGCATCCGAACAAACTTACACTTATTCTAACTTGGCCCATACTGTCCCTTTCTCTAAGTGTGGCACTGTGGGGCGTTTTTAATGTATCGAAGTCAATAGTAATTCCGAAAGGAATAGCTATCTCATCCGTACGCGCATATCGTCGTCCAATGCTGCCTGAAGAATCGTCCACTTTGTGGGAAACGTCCACTCTGGTGAGATCTTGTGCTGCAAAAAGTTGTATAGTGAAAGAAACCGATGCGTCGAGAATATTGAGAGAAAAACAATCATTTACTTACACAATTTCTTAACGAAAGGTATAAATTCAGTATTTCCGCTGAGCGGCAAAACAGAACATTTCAAAGGCGCCACGACGGACGGTAAACTCAAGTATGTCCGTTGCTCGTCTCCTTCCCTCATCTTAAAGTTATGCTCGAAAATGGCGTACATAATGCGACCTATACCAAAGGAGGGTTCAATAACGGATGGCGTTATTTCTTCAACGTGAAGAGTTTTCTGATAACGTTTTATGATAATCATGTCTTTCGCAATTTTGACTGAACGACCATCGGGCAGTGACAAATTGTACTCTCCGTTAACAATCAATTGCGTCTCTAGATTCTCGATTTCAGTTTTATCCAACACAGCGAGAGTGTCAAGGACTGCCTTGGCTTCCTTCTTGAAAACTTTGCCGATGACGCCCTTGTTTGGAACAGCTTCAGTGACGTCGACGACTTTTGGTTCAGCCAGCTTCTTCTCTGCTGCTAATTTAACCCCAGTGGCCTTTGTGTGCTGTGTCAAATCGTAGGCTGATCTGTCAGCACAGCCAACACACTCGATCCAACCGTACGAGGTCAGACATTCCGCGTCCCAACAGTCGCAGGCGTAATGAGCCATTTCGTTACTCATGTGCTGACGGAAACGTAACTTTATTGGATCGATCCCGACCTTCAACAGAAAGTGTTGAATCTTGGCCATGAAATATCCCAAGGTCTCGTTAGCCACAAGACCCGCGCTAACAGCGTCACCGATTTTCATGTACTCTGCTCCTTTTCCGTCCATTTGATTGCAAGCCGAGTACAAAAGTAGCATCGTGTTCCGAATCGAGTTGAATTTCTGATGTTTCTTGTTGCTTGGATCGCAGAAATGTTCGATTTCGGCCATTGTAAATTCTCTTACGCGGATCAGACCAGACCTTGGAGAGATTTCGTTTCTGAAGGCATTTCCGATTTGAGCAGCTGCAAATGGCAACTTGCCTTGATTGAATTCCAACAGTCTTTTGAAATTCACAAAGATACCCTGAGCTGTTTCTGGTCTGAGAAATCCCTTTGTGAGACCAGATGGACCAATTTGAGTTCCAAACATTAAATTAAATTCTATAGGCTCTGTGAGATCGTTTCCGGATATCGGTGATTTCATGTTGAACCTTGACATGATTGCAGCCATATTGTCCTTTGTCATACCATCCAGTTTTATGATGATGTCTGTACATTCAGCGCGAGTAGTTTCATCAGTTCTCTTATCCGCAGCTACTTTTTCCAAGTGTGCTTTAATCAAATGATCTAAACGGAAGCATTCCCCATTCTTCACATCCTTTACCATTAAATCAGCAAATCTGTCGACATGGCCGGATGCTTTTAGAACTGGCTCCGGTGTCAAAATCGAACAGTCCACTTCTAGCATTTGTTCTTCCAATACAAAAAAGTTCCGCCAAGCACTCAATAAGTTTGCTTTGAGGGAACAGCCCATAGGACCAAAATCGTACTGCCCAGTGATTCCACCATAAATGGCAAAAGACTGATCTAAGAAGAATCTACGTTTGAGAAGATCCTCCATCTTTGATCTATCAAAATTGGCTGCGTCAGGAATAAGAGATAATTCTTTATCTTCCAATAATTTTTTCCGTGACTTGAGTTCTGCAACAGCTTTTTTGACATCCAATTCTGGTGCCCCATCGCTCTTCAGCTGACGCACCAGATCACCCTTAAAACACATTATAACATACAATAAGCAATTAATTTCTTAGAATATTATTTATCAAAGATTCGACCTGGTAGCATACATATGTATAAAGAGCGGAAATTGATGTATTAATTAGCTAAATAAGATTAACTTTAACTGGCTCTATCAACATGGATTCACAGTTTCATTGAAGTGCTTCACATGCTTAGATTATAAAATTTGCACCAGGATATACCAAACAAATGAACCACCATATGGTCTAATACAAATACCTGTTCCTTAACTTTTGCTCTAAATGGCGCCAAGGCCTCCTCGATCTTTGGGTCGCTCATAACGAGAGAGAAATGTAATTTCACTTTTCTATGCTGCTTCTTCGAACCCCAGTTGGAATCGCCGTATAACCTCACGTTCGCTCCGCACTCTCTGACGACTTTCCGATCGTAGAGCGTATGGCTGTGACAGAAACGACTAGCCGCAAGCTTGCATGCGAATCGAAGACTGTACAAAAAAATCTGCATTCGTGAAAACCCACAATTCTCCTAATATCACAAAAATGGGAGGCACTAAAGTAAAACCGTGGTAAAACCACATTGAACCACATATAATGAACGAGACTTTCGCGGTGAAAGGAAAGGTCGGGGCACTGTAATCTCTCGATACGTCACTGCGATTCGACATGAACTCACGTCAGGCTGCGTCAGGTTCACATGTGCCAGCAATAAAATATTTATATCTAGAAACGCACGCGAAAATAAATAATAAGTATGTTTTTATTACCTATACGTACTGCACTTTTTATAAAGTGCAGATTCTCATTAATTACTTAAAAATATCATCCAGTAAAAATGTGCACTTTTTGAAAAGTGCAAAAAGTGTAAGTAACGAGACAGACCGAATGATGCAGGATTGCATATCGTCGAATACATCATTTGAAAATATTTATGTTTTTTATTTAGATGAACGCTGGTCGTTGAATGTATTATTCGATTCGAAAAAATAAACTGCTTCTGATAGTATAACTCTTGCCGAACAAATCGTTGTGACGTAAATTTGTAATTCAGTGTTACTAGGTATACGTATGTCCCGAAATTTACTGCCACTACTGCGACCATCGCTGTGTCCTTAGGGTGCTGTCCTATGTATAAAAGACAGAACGAGAATGACGGAATCGAAAAAATAATTTCGTGAGGGTTGACAAATCATCTTCGTTCGGAAAATGTCAAACGATGCACGGGTTCCCCACGTAGAAGAAAAAACGGAAATGCGGAAAGTGTTAAAATCAATTTTCGTTAATTAAAATCAATAATAAGAACACATATTGTTAGAAAAATCATTAAATATTAATTATCTATAAGATTGCATAGATTGAAATGCAAAGATTTGGAATTCGTAAAATTCATCAAAGTTTTAAGGTTAGAATGTCAGCCCGTTTTCTAAAAAATATGGTACATGGGGAACCCGGGCATTCTTTGACATTTTCGGAACGAAGACGATTGGTCAATCACCAACAAACTATTTTTCGGATTCCGTCGTTCTTGTTTTGTCTTCTATACATGGGACAGCCAGCACCCTTTCATCTGAATATGTATATCTGAGGTAGATGTACGTAATTTCATAATAATTTGTCAGTATAAAATTCAGAACACACCTTAAGTACTAGCCTAAGTGTTTAATAAACGAACGACGACATTGATATTACTTACCGAAAATCAGTAATATAAAATAATATAACCTCTCCAGCATAAATAGAGAGTAAGTGAAAGAGTGACAGAGAGAGAGAGAGAGAGAGAGAGAGAGAGAGAGAGACAGAGACAGAGAGCATCGATAGGCGAAAGCATTCATAGAACTTTAATTTAATTTTATAATTTTATTTCTCATACACCGTAGCACGGTTTATAGAAAAATTACAATCGAAGAATTATAACTTAGTAAAAATTCCCATAGCGCTATAATATGTATTCCCATTTAACAATCAATTTACTAATTATAACTTTTCAATAAACCCAGCACTAAGTGCTACAACGTGTTACATTGTACACAGAATCAAGACAAAAGTCAAAAACTGATGAACAAGTCAACACGATTTTTCTGATAGACGCGTTAAAACATCTGGGAATTCAGAACGCTTACATAATTAGTTCTCTGATTTCGTAAAGATTCCCCGTGATCGGACCATTTAATTACAATCCTACGACTTTGACATTGAAATGACGATTTATTACACTAAGCATTTACATGCGTAGATTTCTCTCTTACTAATGCAATAGGGGAGAGTAAGTGTGAAAGAAAAAACGAGGGAAAGATGGAGGGGAGGGGGAGAGAGAGAATAAACGTCTTAGAAACGAAAATGTTTTTTTGATTTTACGATATAATGATATAATATACGATATTGAAACAATATTCATCGGTGTAAACAATTTATTTTACATAAGGGCGATATTCCGACATTAAAAAGCAATTATTGATAATCTATAATAATAAATAAAGTATGAAACGTAAATAATGGATATTTACAGATATGTAAATGGCGGAGAAAAGAAAATTACAAGAATAAGAAGGTCGCAACAGGTAGATGAGGGAAGGAAGAATGACCGAGGGGTGCCGAACGGTTGAGAGGGGAGGGGGGGGGGTTGAAAGAGAAAAAGATACTTTCGTAAAAGATGTGTAGCTCGCGCGTCACGATGGATTCTGTCGTTTGTCCGTAAATGCCATGGAGATGACACGTCTCTCTTTATATCGTTATTTATTATCATCATCGAAACATCCCAATCGTCACTTAATACCTGTACACTTAAAAGCTAAAAAATCTTATTCGTCACAACGAAGACGAGACGAACTGACAAAAGGAGTTCGACTACTCCAATTTGCGAACAATCAACAGAGACGCAATCCTAGATGAATGCGACGTTATCGAGTGTATCAGAGCATGTATACTATACATATGCGTACGTATGTATTTATATGCTCATACACATGCTATGACATAGTACATACATCCAGCGTGAGTGCTCACTGCATTATAATAATTGGACTATGATAGCTTAGGTAGGGAAGTGCCGGGATAACTTTCAATGCGGACGTGAAACTCAGATAGAAAAATTTATTTAAAAAACCTTGTGCCCATGATTTTCTCTTATTTTGTTCACGGAATTTCTTCTAAAAGCACGAAAATAACTAGTACACTCGAATGAACGAGTGATACGAGCACGACGAGCCCGAGATAATCATGAAGCGGCTATTTAATATATTTCATTTCATCTCCATCTTTTTATCTGTCTTTTGCATTGCGCATATCTTGCAACTCGATCTCGTCGCTCGACCATCCGATCAGACAAATTCAGCTACAGGATGGCTACCCCGATAAGGATGACATAACAACGAAAAAAAATATGCGAGCACAAGAGACCACGACAGAATATCACAGTGGTGAGCTTGCAGAGCCGCACTGGAGTATGTCAAAGCCCTCCCTAGAATTTTCATTACCTACGTCCTCAAGATAGTTATTAATTTGTAGGACACACTCCTCTAGTTAACAACAATCCTACATTGCTACCGTAAGATTACCTATCCTTAAGAAAAAACCGTAACGTTATCTAGTAATACGTAGTCATATACATACACTTGCTAAGGATGCTGCGTGAACTTGTGTCTACTGGCTGCTAAATGTTTCGAGAATGAATACTGTACGTATAATGCTCGTGAAAAGTAAATGACGATGCGCTAGAAATAATTTTATTGCGATTCGATTTCATAATGATGCGAACGATATTTTAACGTGATTTTTATGGTATCTGTGGATTGTATCTTTTCTCGTATCTCCTTGACTGGACCAAAGTCTACAGTTTCTTAGAATCTCTTTTCTTTCCTATATAAAAGTATACGTAAGAGTCATGTATATACGATTCAACGGATAATGACGCTAATGTCAAGTAGAAAATGGAAGAAGATAAAGAAAATCAACGTCTGACAACTAATCTACATATACTACGTGAGACCGAAAGAGAATGAAAATAATTACACAAAAAAATATGTATACTCGTACAAAGATATTCCTAATGGGAGTAAGAAAAGCATCTCTAAGGATATGTTTGCTGTGGCGATATACCATTTAAAAAAAAGAAGTAAATAAAGAGGCGGAAATTACGAAAAAATAAAAAAAATTTCGACAAAATAATAATAATAAAAAGAGGATAATCGTACCGTGTTTCACATATCCACAAACATTAATATCACCGGAGAAGAAAAGGATTTTCATTTAATATCAATTGCACGTAGTTGGCAAACATCCATTACTGTTCCCGTGCTTCGCCTCCAGTGTGTAAGCGTTGGATAATTGATCAATTAATTTCCGGATATCCGCCGCATTCATTTCAATTGATCTATTTTCGCATCCGATCGGAAAATATTTTTTGCGGTGAGATTGGCGTAGTCTACATCTCACCCTGTACCGTTATAAATATACACAGATCGTTCGAATTTTGAAACTATATAACATATTATACGACGACTTTTTCCTCTTGATATCTACAAAACATGTACAAGAATGACATTGCACATTGTGTTCGTGTTTGTGTGTGTTATGATGGTAAGAACGTAACGCTTATTTCCCGCTTGCTGCTCCTCCAATGGCGAGATTCACTCCTCGTTTAATATTCTAATAAACTCAACAATTAAGATTTAGATAAATGATCTTGCTAAGACATCATGGTAAAAACTTAAACAAGAAGTGTGTGTGTGTGTGTGTGTGTGTGTGTGTTATATATTCGAGTGGATAGAAAACTAATAGACACTCTTAAAAACGAATATAAAAATCTTTCGCGAGTATTCTTAAACTTTTGACTTCTCGTTCCGTATCTAGCTCTACCAGATCAAAAGTAAGGAGGGAATCACACCTTTGGAAAGATTGGAACTATATTAATTATCAATGAAAATGAACGCACCGTACTTCTTAAAGCGACTCTACTGTTTAGACGAGAATGATTATCCCTTGCATGAATCGTGATGATCCCTGATAAATATCGCTAAATCGTTTGACAGATCCGAAGACGAAGCTCCGAAGATGCATTAACATGGACCAGTGACAAAGATTGACGTGTAGCATAGTCTCGCAGTCTGTCGTGCTTCTGAAATTGAATCGCTAGCAGCAAGATTTCTAATGCGTCCATTCGCCTCTCGTAAATATAATGAAAATGATCGTTTACCATCTTGAACGCATCGTGAGTCTGTTTACTGAGGTGGCTGCGGTTCACTGGGCATGTTAGGATTGGGATAGGGCGGCAAGAAACTGTAATTAGGATAAGGCGGCGGCGGAGGGTGCGGAAACGGAGGATAATAATTCGGAGGGTGGGTAGAGGGTGGTGGCGGAGCATAGGCTCTATGCATGTAGGGATCCGCTGCAGGAGGAGGACCGTGGAAGGCCGAATACATTCGAGCGTACTCCGTGTTGTAGGTTGGTCCTCCATACGCCGGATAACCAGGGGCTCCTACGTCACACATATCACATACGACATCACTTAGATTGTCTTCTACCTCTTGATAGCTGACGTAGAGGGAAAATAGTTGTACTCACCACCTGGTGGATAAGCCGCAGAGGAGCCAGGTGTTGGTGAATAATGCTGCGCATACGGATCATAAGGTGCTGGGGGATAGGGCCCAGGGTACCGAGTGTTTGTGGGATGACTGAACGCAGTCGGAACGTGGGTGGTCTCGTCCCTGGACGACGTCGTCGTAGTCGTCGTCGTGGTCGTCTCGGTGCTCTTGGACTCGGTCGTCTCGATTGCCGTTTTGGCAGTAGAGCCAGAACTTTGTGAAAATATACTGGGCGTGATACTAGTGATTGTCCCTTCATCCAATGGCTTTCGCGTCTCAGATTGTGACTTGGTCGCCTCCAGTGGAAGTCTGGGATTCGCCGAGTGAGGGGGAACACTTGGGAAATATGTCCCGTAAGGATTGGACAACGATCGTGATCGAGGATCCGCATAATCGTAATACCTAGGATACTGGGCGTAAGGATAACCCTGGGGCACTGCCTGCGGCACGGCCTGAGAAACGCTTTGGGATACAACAGCTTGGGACAAGCCCTGTGAAAGAGTGTGTACCATACTCTGCGTTGCATTCTGAGAAAGACCCTGAGAGAGAGCTTGATCATCTGCTTGTTTCGAACCTTCCCGAACGTTTAACTCTGTTACTTTAACAGACGTCGTACTTGTTCCAGCGGACACGGAAGCAATGGAGATGACACATGAGTCTGCGTTATTCTTTGTTGTATCCATCCTCTGAACGATCGAAGGAGGTGCCGGTGGCAGTGGCGGTGGGGGTGGGGGTGGCGGTGGCGGTGGCGGTGGCAGAGGCGGAGGCGGCTCTTCTATAATAATATCATCATTAGGACTATCGGTTTCATTCTTTTGACTGGGGAAAACTTGTCCATAATCCGTCAAAGGGTCTGTTTTGGTCGATTCCTTGCTACTGTCACCCGCTAATGTTTGTTGATCAGGTTCTTGGACCATTTCGGGTTCTGGCTGATTGCGTTGAGCCTGGGCGCTTTGAGTATTGGGATCAGCTGAATCCGAAGAGAAACTATGAGTTCTGTTGTCAGCAGCTTTCTGGGCCGCGTTGTCCGCCAAATCGGTGTTCGAGGATCGACTCATATTAGACGGACTGTACTCTGTATTAGAACTAACTTCTGCCACAACATCCTCTAACCTCACCTCCTCCACTCTCTGCTCCGTTCTCAATTGACCATCCGAGGAATTGGAATTTTCTCCGATAGACGAATTATCCACCGGTTCTTGTTTTACCTTAGGTAATCTTGATAGAGACACTTGATTAGTCAAAGTCACTTGACTCAGATAAGGTTTTGCAGCCGCAGTGGCTACTGGTTTCGGCCTCCTAGCCATTTCCTTATCGGCGAATGGTCTGTAACCTGCACTTCCGGGCCTATTTAAAGGTCGACCACTGCCGTGTGTACTCGACGATGACTTTGGTATTATGGATATTGCTGAGTTATTCCTCAATGGGAAACCAACTTCCGGTTTGGAGTTCCTTTGCGTTATTGAAGACAATCCTGTGTAATAAAATATCATTAATACGCTTTATTCTAAATCTTAAGTAATTAATCACCTTTTTTAGGCTCCTCTTCGCGTTTTTGCTGATTGATTTTCAGGGCAGTTCTTATGGCTATAATCTTGCCAGACTCAAGCTGCATATAAATTCCTTTTGGGCTTTTGAGAACCATTACTCTTTGACCAGCTTTAAGAACGATGCTACCCTTGTCTGGCGAATTAGTTGGAATGACAACGTCCAGGGGTAATGTCATTTCCTGAGCACTCATGCCCTGTCGCTGCCACACTTCTGCCGGTATCCACCTACTCCCGGTAACACCACGTGCTCCCAAGCCTTCAGCTCCACGTTGTTGCATGGGTCTGACAGAAGCTACGGGCTTCGGGGTGGTGGCACTTTCTCCACCTCTTATGGCCCTTATTTGAAGTCCACCGGCTAAAATTCAAATGAGTTTCAATCAATATAAGTATCACGTGTCTTTGTCCATCTACAATTAAACTGATGGTAGCGTGCTTCGCACATCACCAGTCTCAAGATTGTATACAAACCAAATTGTTGAACATTATAACGAATTTAGACTTACCTCTAGTTGCCGTATTTCCAGGTACATAGTTATAACTGGGCCTGGAACAATTAGCAGCCATTTTCTCGAGTTCGTATCCACGACGCGCCAACCGCTTTTCAGCCTGACTCAATTTCTTGTCCTTTCGATCGACCAGAAGACTCTCGTGATGAAACGGCTGTTTAGTCAAGAGGGACGAGTGCCGCTCCAATACGCAATGCATCACTTCATCGGTATAGCTGTCCTTTGACTGCGAAAAATCTTGGACCTGACTGTCCTCCTCCCAATCCCAGGAAAGAGTCGTTGCTTCCTTTAAAGACAGATGAGCATCAGGATTGCACTGATCGACAACGCGATCCGCCATTCCTTGCTTGCTGATTTGTCGATCGTAGATCTTCCTCTCGAGACAATTGTCAGTAACCAATCGATACACGAAGCACGGTTTCTGCTGGCCGTATCTATAGACCCTACAGACGGCCTGAGTGTCGTGACAAGGATTCCAGGACGCGTCGAAAACGATAGCGCGATTTGCTCCTACGAGATTGATACCCAGAGAGCCAGCGCGAGTCGAGACAAGGAAGAGATGAATTTTTGGATTATTGTTGAACTCATTAATAAGTTTCTCTCGTTCCAATGCGCTGGTACTCCCATCCAATCTGTAATAATTTATGTTCTTCACCCAAGCGTCGGTTTGACCATCAGGATACTTGAGACTGTTCCTCGCAAGAAAGTCTTCTATTAGATTCAAGGTGAAAAGCGATTGGGAAAAGGCCAATACTCTGTCGCCCAATCGAATAGCTTCCTCCAGAATGCAGAAGAAAAGAGTCATCTTCGCAGATGCGTCAATCAGTCCGGGAACGTAGCCCTTCATCAATTCCGTCGCCCAATCATACGGTATTCCCGGATCTTCCTTGCCGCCTGGAGAGCTCTTACAGTCCTTTTCCTCATCCTTCGCAAGGATCTCATCGTCCGACTTGTCCTCCTTCTCCTTATCCAAGGATTCCTCCTTCTCGCGTTCCTCTTCCTTGATGCCTTCTGCATTCTGACCCAAACGAGAAGTCCCAGCATGACATGCGTTCACAATGCCATGAACATTTCTTGACAATGGCGCGGCTGAATTTTGACGATTTAAATCTGCTGTGTTGTAACCAGTACTGCTAGTCGACATATTGTTCTGTGCCACAGGTTGACTTTGCACGCCGACACTAGCCGTCGCTTCCTTATTACTCTTTTCAAAATTGCTTTGATTCTGCACGTGACCACTGGTCCCGCTTGATTGCGGAGTCTTCGATTCGTTTGGTCTTGAATTCATATCTTCGCTTTGATTACCCTGATAATCGTAAGACTGAAAATAATTATTTTGATAACGATTCACGCTAGACTCTCTGTAGTAAGTATCGTTGCATTGATCATGACGAAATGTTTGTGAATAATTCCTCTGCCAATAAGGATCATCAGGTCCCTTGAATTGTCCCACGGAATTCTGATGACTCACGTCAGAGGAGTAATTTGGCAAGACCGAGTTCTGAGGAGCCTGTTGTTGATTCGTAGAATAATTTGGAGTTGAATTATTCGACGAAGCTCCTCCTGTTCGTTCCGATGAATATTCGTGGGGTGTATTACCAGCCGATGTGTAATTCTGTTGCGCTGGCTGACCTTCGCTGGATCGCGAGAACATCTGATCGTTTTGACTGAGATTTTGATTCGATCCTTGTTGATTCGAAGAATAGCCACGCGATTGACCTTGAGATATTGAATTCTGACCCTGCTGATTGGTAGTGTATCTATGAGATGAAGCTTGCGGAGTGGTGGGTTGAGTTTGCTGTCCAGTTGGGTAACCAACATGATTCTGGTTACCCGATGTCGGCGTCTGACTTTGATGTGACGAAGAATACGTAGGCGCAGAATTCTGTGAATTTGGTGTCTGCACCAAATGATTCGAGGGATATCCATGAATAGAATTTTGGGCCGTTGATGGAGCAGTTACCTGCTGCTGCTGCTGCTGCTGCTGCTGCTGCTGCTGGTGCTGATCCGTCGTGGTATAACCGTGACTCTGATTCTGGTTGGTTGGATTTGATGTAGATTGTAGATTCGTAGGTGGTCCTTGAGGAGCTCCGGAATATCCACGGATTTGATTTGTTGTGACCGGAGGTTGATTCGACTGATTCGACATAAATGCATGAGTGTGATTTTGCGACAGAGAACCGGCAGCACTCTGCTGACTCGTTGGATAGCCAAGCGATGGCGTTTGCGGTGGAGGATTTTGTGTCACTTGACTGGATGCATAACCGTGAGGTTCATTGTGCATGGTTGGAACGTTTTGCCCGGATTGAGAGGATGGATAAGGATGAGTGGGATTTTGCATAGAGGCACTAGACCCCTGCTGATTCGGTGAGAAGCCACGATTTTGATTCTGAGTCGGTGGATTCTGATTTTGCTGATTTTGGAGATAGCCACCTGTCGGTTGATTCTGGCTTGATATATTCTGATTTGGTCCAGAACCGGTATATGTCATTCCCGAATTCGGTGCAGACTGTCCATCCGACCTTGGATACAGCTGATTACCTTGACCCGCGACCGGTGTGTAACTCTGACTGGGCTGATTAGACGCCGTATAAGAAGGATAATCTGATATAGGTAAACTAGAAGTTTGACTCGGCAATTGATTTTGATAGGATTGCGTCTGATTTGTCACTTGGCTGTAGTTGGATCCTTGATTCAAGCTTGAGGCGTAGCTTCGACTTTGATCCTGATAAGGATACGACTGCCGAGCATATATACCTGCTGGTGTCTCATAAGTACCGCTTATATTCTGATCAGGTCGAAAATCATTGCTGCTGGATGGACCTGCAGGATATCTCTGGGAATGATTACCAGACTGATCATTGCTCGGAAGATAACTCTGGGATGGATTTGCGTACGCGGATGCGGCACTGTATCCTGGAGTCTGCGGATACGACTGGAACAATTGATTCCCATATCTCTGTTGTCCTTGATGATTACTGTAAAACTCATTGTACTCATTATGAGTGGCATCGGTTCTGTAATAATTATTCTGATCATTTGCACGGTACGCTTGATATCCATGAGGATTATAAGGACCTTGAGGAACGGAATTAGAATATCCCGAATTAGACACTGGCATGGGATAATTAGGATAAACTCCGGTTTTCTGATTAGCGTGAACATTATCCCCCTCGACGTTATCGTTACTCGATGACGATGACGAATTTGGTTGCACACTGGCAGCTGGCTTATTTTTTATGGTAGGGTTAGATTTCTTTCCTTTCTTTGGTTCTCCTCTTGTCTGTCGCGCTTTATTACGTTTTGCACCAGGTACAGGTTTCTCACCCATAGTTTCCTCCAAGTCCAGATCGTCCTCTTCGTTGGCCTGGCGCTTACGTAGAAAATGATACAAGATATCAGGATGATTCCAGATCTTACAGCACACAGCAAATGCCTTGAGTGGATTTGGCACCGCGCGCGTCTTTACCACCTGATTCATAAATGTGTCGTAGAGTTTTCGTTGATGAGGTGTCATTCTCACAAGCAAAATATACTCCTCCTTTCGTGGCAGCGACACTTGCAATACCGAATGTGATCTTCGCTGTACAAAGCCTTCAAGAAGTGCGTGCAGCACATGAGCACGATATCTCATGAGTCTAATGTCCTGCGGCGTGGAGTCGATACACTGTCCATTTTGAATTGGTCTCTCGAACATGTTACAAAATTCGCTCTTAGTACCCAGATAATTGGGTCGCACAAAATCCACCATGCACCAATATTCGAGAAGATTATTCTGAAGTGGATAACCAGTAAGGACGATCCGGCGCTTAGTACGCATTTGTTTCAAAGCAAGACTGATACTGGCGTGGGAATTCTTGATACGGTGTCCTTCGTCGCAAATTACTAGATCCGGGCCAGGACTGACCAGGGCACCATGCATCTCGTCCAACAATCCTTTGTTTTTGTCTTCTTCCTCGACGTCCACAGTGTCCTTGAAAGGCTGACCTCGTTTCCTCTTTGCTTTATTCGGTTTTTTCAGAGACAACTGCCTGTACAATTCGTATCCAATTAGCAGTACCCCGCCGCCCTTCTGCCAGTCCTGAATAACTCTGGCTCTAGCTGACATTGTCTTGTGAGAATCGTTTAGAATGTGCAAACGAAAGTGTCGTGGTCTCACTTCCATTCCTATTGGTGCATCCACGCTAAAGGGAGTCTTAACTCTGTCGACGTCCTTCTTGTCTTCCGAAGTCTCTTCTTTAGTCATTGTTGTGACTTGTTCCTTTTTCACTGGATCTTCCGGCTCTTTCTTAATGTTCATTTCGGAAATTTGGCCTCCTTCTTTCTTCACTTCCGCTGGCTCGGATTCCGATTTTGTCGTAAAATTTGAAAATGTCTGCGCTGCTGGTGAACTTTCATAAGACCGATACATCTGTGCTGTAGGATGATTATCCAATCCGGCATACATTGAAGTCGGAGCGCGGTTCTCCATATCCGAATAAATCGATCCCTGTCCACGATTATCCATTGTAGGATACGCCGGATTCAAAATATGGCTGTCCATTCTGAAGTTGGGAGTAGCGGCGACATTGATTCCCGTTTGCACAGAGCGACTATCCATATCTGGTTTTATCAATTCAAAATTCCCCGTCGTATTAGTACTAGGGGCATACATAGCATTCTGCGACATGTCGCCATGATAATTCTGAATCATATTATGATTATTTGGATTACCAATAGGTTTGTTCGTCATAGTCTCTTGCATATACTGATGGTGGTTAGACACCATATTCTGCATATCATAACTTTGATGAGAAAATGAATTTTCCGACAACATATTGGCCGGTTGCTGGCCACTATCTGGTCCGATGCGGTGAGCTGATTCTGTACTGATAGGTCTTGACATATTCGACACATCGCTTCCGGTCTCTTCTTTCATTTCTTGCTTGTTCTCGGTACCCGGCTCCAATTTAACATTCACTTTGTTCTCCGTCCTCTCCAAGGAGGGATCTTCGTACGGTAACCACATATTAAATTCTGCTAACCAATTCTGCAGAGTGTTGATCGGCATAATGCAAAGAACTGTTTTGGCAGTTGTGCATCGAAAAAAAATGTCGCAAAAGCTGGCAACTTGAAGTGTTTTTCCGAGGCCCATGCTGTGCGCTAAAATACAGCCAAAACCAGAACTGGTCTTATATCTCTCGATACTCTCAACAATATTATCATAGAGAAATCGGATTCCGCCGATTTGATGAGGTTTTATAATGCGCGCAACCTGCGGCGCGAGGAATACATCCGGCTCTGTATCAGGATGGCCAACGTTGATTAAAACTCGACCATGCTCGTCCGGAATGTTGTACCGATCATTGGTATGCATCCCTGAATTCGATGGATCGTCCTCCGTATCGGTTTCCTCTCCGCCACTCGGATCGCTCAGAACAATGCAGTCGTCATCGGAACTCTCGCTGGAGCTGGATATCGTTACCACATCCTTACCCTTTGCCGATTTTTGGGATTTGGGAATACCCGAGACCTTGCGCATCGTGTGAATTTGTTTCTCGCGAAGAGCTTCGTCAGCTTCTGCGTCCGTACCCTCGGAGTCCGAATAATATTCCGATCTATCCATAGGCTCTTTTTTGGGGACCACCGGTGAGATACTAACGGATGGCGTCATCATTCGGATCCTCTGTTGAAGCATATGTGGACCCGTGGAACGATTCTGTACTCGAGAAATTGAGGTCTGCGCAGGTTGATAACCTCCACGACCTTTTTGCCAGCGCATGGCATCCATTTGTCTCCTCTGCAGCTGGCCTGATTGAACTGCAATATTGCTTTGCATGCCGGAGCCAGAGCCTGCGCCGGAATTCACTTTGAGCAGAACCGTACTTGGCAGACGAACTTGGGACGACGTCGAGGAGGGGAAAGAGGAGGAGGACGAGGATGAGGACGAGGGCGAAATCGTGGTCCCTGCTTGATTCTGCTTGCCTTGCAAGAGACTTATCACGCGAGTTTGAGTCTTGTTATTTTGTCGGTTGATGGCTATCTGTCGTTGCACTTCGCGAATTATTCTTTGCTGTTCCTGAACACGACGGAGACGTTCCATTTCCTGTCTCTGCGCTGCCAGCGTAGCCTCGTCGAGTTGTGTTTCATCCATGACTTCACGGATGTTTCGTCGCATGTTAGAGAGTTTCTTCTCGGCTTTTGTCTCGCAGTCGCCCGAATCATAGCCATCTTCTTTCTTCTGCTTTTTCTTTGCCGGATCCGAATTCTCTGAATCGGCGCGTCTCTTATTTCCTTCTGCGTTATCATCACCGCCCGACTGACTATCCGTCTTCTCATTTTCGTTGTCCTCGCAATCCTCACCTTCCATTTCCTTGGAGATCGGTTTTCCCAGGAGATCCGCTTCCGTTACCTCTTGACCTTCGATTGGAGCTCCTTCACAGAGTATGATTGTAAATTTAATACAAAAAAAAAAAAAAAAAAAGAGAGAAACAAGCATAAACTGTTCAGTCGGCTCCGAAATCTCTAAAACGTTTTATAGCCGGTTATCAACGGATAGCTACTCTCGATACCGTAAGACATACCCTTTCTCTCAAAGTTATTGTGAAATAATCCGAAAGGAAACAAGAAACCGGCAATTAATAATGGATACCCGGATATTGACGAGGAATTAATCATTCTCATCCAAAACAAATTGCGTTCGATGACAAGAGATTCTTATTTCACTCATAGTTATAAATCATTAATTAATAATTGTGAAGTATGTTGCCATTTAAATGAAACTAGCCATCTTGCATCTTGCAGTTTTCAAATCAATTGCAAACCACTTTAGTTTAGCTGATAGAGAAGGAACGAGTCAACGAATTCACTTTTATAATTAAGGACAAGTTATTGATTTCCTGAGACTTCCGTATTACCTACATTGTTGTGGAAGAAAGCCGACTAATGCTACACAAGTATGAATTTATCCTATTCTTCAAATTAACAATTGATACGAACCTTCCAGTGGCAGTGTATCCAAAATATTAACAGTTTCTACGTCGTCATCCTGCGGTGACGGTGCTTGTTGCCTCTCTGTCTCCATTCTTACGCCTATCTGAGTATCGATAGTGTCATCCAGATCCATGTCGTCACCCGATCCTTCAGTGTGAATTTCTTCAATTTCGTCCACTAATAAAGAATCATTTTTCTTTTCATGTTCAAGTTCAGAGGCATCACCGCTCGATTCCTCAGAGCTCTCATTTTCCTCTATGACCGTTCGGGATTCAGCTTCATCGCCATTCATTTTAGAAGGAGTATCGAAGATCCTTTGATTTTTATCAGAAGAATTTACACGCTCTATCGTGACGTCTCCAATTCGTGTTAGAAAGCTATCCAAGCCACTAGACATCTTGTGTATGTTTCATTCATGTGTGATCCGACTCTATGAATTGCAACAGAAGAGCATAGAACAATTCTAGTGTGCAAAATGCAGGTAGAATTATATTTCCATCGGCACTTGCACCATGCCTTTGAACGAGCCATTCATAACGCAAATATAGGCCTGTCCTGAAAAAAAAGAGAATTTCTTTTAAATATAGGTAAGAGAATATTAAAAAAAATTATATATTTCATAAAAATAAAAACGGAACAAAGAAAACTTACCATAAAACGAGCCAAGATACTTGATTGATCTTAGCAAATGTGTGTTATATGATTATGGTATTAAATAAGCCAAATATAGTTATTTGAAACTTGACAGTGATAACAGAAAGTCAGTAAGCGCAATGGTAAATTTGTTTGGTGCTAGTAAAGAGCATATCTGTACCAGTACCGCAATATATGTTTGAAGAACATAAAAATATTACAGCTGAGTTTGAAACTCGGATCAAGCTTCTGTCCAGGCATTAAAGACTCGTAGCAGACAAAGAAATTCTATGGTTTCATACGTGAAACAGAAATGAGGTCCATGAATAATAAAAATGGCAGGGATTAACTAAATGCACTAAAGCGAAATGCACAAGATAACGTAATATACTCACCAGCAATTCAAAATATCCTTTGAACACCAAATGAAAACAATGGAGAATCCCGCCTGACGAGGAAGGACACGAACGTCTTTTTTGAAACAAGAAATATACTAATACGTGGCAGGAGAGAGATATACTCGGCACTGTAAGCGACAGTCAATAATAAAGAGAAAGTTTTTGTGCCGCTAGATTTTGGGGTTAGGATAATCGTAGTCACCCTCGTGTACGTAGGGACGCGCAAAAGGTGTCAGCGACCCGCTTGTAATATCCCGAAAACGAGGTTTCCGTGGTTTCGAGATGGGAGCTGTCAAACAGGGAGTGTAAGCCAACTCGGTTCCGAACGTTTGTTATTCCCGGAGGTCGTCTGATTGGCGAACGCACCAGGAAATCACATTCCCCGACAGAAATGTACAATGCGATGCGACCCGGCGTTAAACAGGCTATATTGAGCACGAGGTGGCACCTTAATTAGTCATTAATTGCGGATAAAAAATAATGACACACACACTTGATGGACGCCATAGCGTCGTTGTTCGCCGCGACGATCGCGGAGGCACCGACGCCCGATTATTTTGGCGAACCAGCGGGTTCCCGGTACGACAAACGTCCTAAGAAATTCATACTACTTTTGTTTATACCGCAGTATACGACGACACGGTGAAATCTGTGAGCAGCATCAATTTTACGTTCGTGCACACGCGTCGTTCCTTCTCGCTTGTCGCGGCATTTTTTTCCACCAACTTTTTCCACCGAGTGTACGACACTCGGCTCGCCCGCCATTTTGTCAACATCCAACGCACTTCCGTTTGCAACAGGGTAGAATATTGTTAGGAATGATTGTCTCTTTTATTAGTATTCAATTCGTTTCAGTACTTGAAAGAAAAATGACGAAATTCACAATGGATCGCTTGGATCAAAGTCCATGACCATGTCAATCATCAATGAAAGTAGACATGCAGGTGTCTAAGTAGATACAATGTTCAAGAGTAAATATTACCTATTAAGAGGACTTAATCTTTTTTTGTCATTTTATGTGCCAAGAATAGATTGACAGGGAGCCAATTAACGATTGGTCCCATTAAGTTTATTGTGTCCATTTTTCAAATGTATACAATTTCATTTCAATTTCTAAATATAATTTACTCATGTCATAATTGATCTTTCATGCTAATCAAGTCGTTGGAAGCATGAAAATATACAACCGCAAGATACTTATAGAACTTAATAATTAAGCACTGCTCCATACGTTCCCTTAAATTTAGCCATTTGCTGTATAAAGTTATATTCTTTACAAAACCATGTCTATACACTTGCGGAATAGTCTCACCACTTGAATTGTTTTAAGCAGTTTCCACATACATAGTTTAAAATGATTTAAATATCTATATTTTATACATAGTAATATAAGTCTGTCCATTGCAATAATACATGTCAAAAGCCTCTTAGAATATGGAAATTAATGATTATATTAATTAGCACTTTCGCAGGCATCAATCCAATCATTGTACACATCCAAAGGTTCGGATAACAGGTTTATAGTCGTCTGAAAGTCTTCTAAACACACTCTACACGTAATTCGTGCAGTATTTCTTGACTTGTCCCTGAAAAATATAAATAAAAATTAACAGTCTCAAGTCATATAATATAAACGGCGCGAATTTGATTATACTCACATCTTAACCTCGCAGGATTTTTCGTGATTGCAAAAAGGGCAATTAAACTGCGTATCCAAAGGTTCTATAGCCTTTCTTTTGCTTGGAGGCTTTCTCTTACTTTTTCTTCTTCCCATTTTTCAATAACAAAATTTTTTATTTTATCACTGCGTAAAACCACTATATACCAGTCCTTACGGATTACCATTGACGTTTTTAAATTTACTAAAGGAGTCAAGTGAAATAAGAATTTTTTCTGATTTTTACGATTTAGGTACAACGTTCGATCTACTAGCAGAGATGAGTAGGGAAATGCACAACGGTACAACGCTGCGATGTTCCTTATGTTTCAACCAGAGATGAGTAGGGAGATTGCCAATGGGCCTGTTTTTGGCAGAGATGAGTGGGGAGATGCACAACTCTCCGGTTTTAGGCGATACCAAAAGCATGGCGCTAAATCGTAGCGGCGAGTCCAGGAGTAGGATTTCGTGATCATCGCCTCTGTCGATGTTACAGATTTCGAGTAGCCGCGCGGGTCATGATCATCGTTCCAACCGATATTGCAGTCAGCGAAAATGAATGGATTGGTCGGTGGTGAGGATCAAGTTGCCGCCCATCACAAACCGTTCTTGACAAGCGGGCGGAACAGCAAAGTCTTCCGTCTAACCGAACCCTAAACGTTTGTATGGACGTAATGCGCAAACAAATGTGTATATTCAAATAAATTTGAAAGTTATAATAAATGCATAGAAATATTGGTTTTCACTCTTTACCTCTTATCATGCTGAAAATGAACATTAAACAATGAATGGCGAAATTCGTTGGTAAATGAAACGACCAAGAACAGTTCAAACAGAAATTTTGAAATATCATAGATAAATATCTATAATAAATTTAATTTAGTATTAAACGAGCATCGTAGCTGAGTCAATAATCTGTCAAGGTTCCTCTCTTTTAACCTTTTTAGGTTGCCCAAAGTTTATTTTATTCTCTTTTGTTCGTCCACGTGGAGAAGGGTGGCGCAAAAGTTCTTAACTGGAGTGCATCTTCATATTATTCTGCTTATATGTAAAGTAAGCGAAACGATAATAGTAAGCAGTTGAATAAACGATGAAATTCTAGAAATACAACTTCCGAAAAAAGTAAAAGAAACATGTGTATCTGGCGCCTGGCTAGAGCACCCGGTTACGAATCGGGAGGTCTATAGTTCGAGACCCCTCTATGGAGAGCACTTTCTTCTTTATAACTCCTTTTTACTCATTTTTTATAACTTTGAAATTTATTTGAATATACACATTTGTTTGCGCATTACGTCCATACGTATCTGGCGCCTGGCTAGAGCACCCGGTTACGAATCGGGAGGTCTATAGTTCGAGACCCCTCTATGGAGAGCACTTTCTTCTTTATAACTCCTTTTTACTCATTTTTTATAACTTTGAAATTTATTTGAATATACACATTTGTTAGCGCATTACGTCCATACAAATGTTTAAGGCCTTTACACACAAAACGACGTAACGACTTAACGCGTAAGCGTAAGGAAAACATTCAATCAGAATCTAGTACTGTTCCCTCCACTTTTCTCCGTAAGACGTAAGCCGTAGTGCCGAAAAATATCGTAAGGATGGAATCGTTACGGCTTACTTCTTACGGACAACCAATCACAAACCTTCGCGCGTTCTCGTTTAAAAGAACATTGTGTACACGTGAGACGAGTGGCTTTGATGTGCTTTGATATTGAATAAAACCAGCAATGAGTGATCATAAGCAATATTGTTCAACAATGTATTGTAATAAAAAAAATTATAGTATGTACAATGACGACACTTTGATAAAAATGTGCAATTCTTTCTTGAGTGTGATTGGCCGTAGCTTACTCCTTACGCGTGTGGTGTGCGATGGTGCTTACTGATTACAGCTTACGGTTGCGTCTTAAGTCGTTACATCGTTTTGTGTGTGTAGGCTTTTAGTAGCTTACTCCTTACGCGTGTTGAATAAAACCAGCAATGAGTGATCATAAGCAATATTGTTCAACAATGTATTGTAATAAAAAAAATTATAGTATGTACAATGACGACACTTTGATAAAAATGTGCAATTCTTTCTTGAGTGTGATTGGCCGTAGCTTACTCCTTACGCGTGTGGTGTGCGATGGTGCTTACTGATTACAGCTTACGGTTACGTCTTAAGTCATTACATCGTTTTGTGTGTGAAGGCCTTTAGGGTTCGGTTCAGTTCAGTTGGATGGAAGACCTTGCTGCCCCGCCTGTTTTCAAAAACGGTTTGTGAGGGGCGGCAACTTTATCCCCACCTCCGAGCAATCCATTCATTTCGCTGACTGCAATATCAGCTAGAACGATGATCATGATCCGCGCGGCTACGCGAAATCTGTAACATCGACAAAGGCGATGATCACGAAATCCTACTCCCGGACTCGCCGCTAAGATTTAGCGCCATGTTTTTGGTATCGCCTAAAACCGGAGCGTTGTGCATCTCCCCACTCATCACTGTTTTCGGTGGTCTCAATTTTACTCTGGTTTCGGCGCGCCTTCTTAGCGGAGG